TTGATTGCGATTTCAGCTCCGGTTCTACTTCACATTTCACAGAGGGAGAATATTTGTGACAGAAAAATTTCAGCTTACATATCAGATTTTCATTTCAATAACCTTGCAATGTCCGGGCATTTCCGTTTTTGCTCAGCAATCAAGCAAACATCTGACAAAATACTTCTTCAAGGAAATCAGCCACAAGTTTCACACTTTATATTTTTTGCTTCTTCCTAGCCTTCAGTCATTTTGTATGCTGCCCTGCCCTTCAAGAAAAATAAGCACCACAAAAGGTCATTTTACGTCCACTACAAACTTCATGCAAACCACTATACATATAAGCTTTCAATTTTTACGCAAGATTCTTGACCTTCTACAGTCACATTTGTAAGAAGACATAATGAGGTACTTTATGTCTTCTTACAAATGTCTGTTGAATGTACATTATGAGAAAGCTAAGTATGTATATGTATAATAATTTGACTTGTCAAAGCCAATCAGAACAGTCACATGGAATGTGAATGGTCTATCCTATAAAATAAATTTTATAGATGAGTTTGGTTCGGCTTTTATAGATGAGTACAACCCTCATGTATTATTACTTCTACAAGAACACATGCTTGGCCCACACACAGGGATCACAATTAGCAACTATAATGCCTATCATCTCAACAGACACATAATAAGTCACATCACTTCTGGAGGAATTCTAATTTTAATCAAGCACTTCCTTCCTTATTATAATACTCCAATACAATAGCTTTTAGCCATAGAAGCCATAGTTCTTGCAGTCATTCCAGGCACTGCCCAACCAGCCACATTAGTCTCCATTTACATGCCAGCTCATTAAGACACTACACTGCATAAACAGGCAATGTCTTCACTTAACAATTGAATACTAATAAGTGGAGACTTTAATGCACACCCCCATAAATGGGACTGAAGTTCCACTAGTTTGAATAGAAACACAATTTTTAATTAGGCCAATAAGGTTAAACTTACTACTTCAGCTCCAGAATATGCCACAGTAAAATATCAGCTAATATTATTTACTTTTCCTAATCATTAATACTGAATACCCGAACCCCATTACAAGTGAAGATGAACATTCATCTGATTATAACCCAGTCATTATGGACAGTGCAGTTGGTCATTATAACACACTAATCAAAAGAGCTCTTAGAACTAATTGATGTAATTACACCAGAGCTCTGAACAACACCCAGTAAACTAAACCAACAATACAATCAGGGAATGAGTTTCAACTCATAAACTTGATGCATTTACTGAAGAGCTCCACAATGCATTAAAAAATAACAGCAAAAAGATGCACTTGCCATGAAAAGACGGAGAGATCCTGCTATCAGAGAATTAATTACACAATGAAACGAGCCTGCCATACATAGCAAAGGACGAAATACCAGAGGACAAAGTTCACATGACTCAACATTACAATGATGTCAAGTCTCTCTCTTTCTCACACGCCAACACACACACACAAAAAAGGATAATTGGACCAGATATCTCGATTCATTACCTCAAGATGATAATTCTAGCTGAGAAGTAGCTTCTAAATATAAAAGATGCCACAGTAATATTCCACTCTTAAAAGGCCTTTGCAGGATCACATACAACAAACTGTAGAAAGCCTAGTCTAGAGCAGATCACTATGCTTCTCAATCCATCATAAACAACATACTAAACTTAGTAACAAATTGTTTCACTTAAATCTGCATAATATTTTTCAAAGCCACCCACAAATAACATAACCCCAGTCAAACTCTCGCAGGTTCTGAATCATACTAAGAAGAGGAAAATCAGAAAGAGCCCTGGCATTGATTGCACAATAATAAAAAAAAATATGGCAGCAATCATGATCTGCAAATTTACAGATGACTAGCTTAATGACTGAAACAGCTTATTTTCTTCAAGTCTGGAAAACTGCAGCTGTTTCTCTGATACCGAAACAAGGAAAAATCATTGGATAACCCAGCTACGTATAGGCCAATCATCTTGCTGCCTGGGCTAAGCAAAATTGCTGAATATGTTATTCAGAGATGCATTCTGGACTTTGCAGATAATAACATCATAATTCCAGATCAGCATAGATTTTGACCTTACACTCAATTGCTCATCAGCTCCTACAAACACCTTGGAGTCGAAAACATCTTTTAGGGACTGCTAAATCATAAATCCACTGTAGATTATTTTGTGATATTTCAATGGCTTTTATCATATCTGGAACGAATTACAAATTTACTATCCCAGGTTTTCCAAATTACATTACACACAATTGATTCCTAACTTACCAATAGGTACTTTGTCATTCGCTTAAAAAATACATATTCCACAAAGTGGTATACCTCAAAGGTCAATGATTAGCAAAATTTTATTCTTGCTTTATGGGTAACAATGTACCTCGCACTCCCAACGCAACACTTGCCATGTATGCAGATAGATGATCCTTCCATGAAATGCATCTTTATGTTCAGTCACTCATGCACTACAAAATCACATACACACAATGAAGTCCTGGCTTCAAAAATAGAAAATCAAGATCATGGACAAATGGCAATCATGTTCAGAAATCAAAGGACCATCGTCAGCCATCAGTATGTATAATACTGTTATCCTGTGGTCTAAGCAAGTAACCTAACTTGCTGTTATTCTAGACCAAAGATTCACCTGAACGAATTTTTAAGTTCTGCAAGTGTAAAGCTACTTACTCTTCCCCCCTTAATTTGCCTGAATTCTGTTCTTTGATTAGATAACATGTTACTCCTCTGTAAGACCATGATACGTCCCATTGTTACTCATGCCTGTCCTGTCTGGGGCTTTGTTTGTAAAACAACATTACATAAACTGCAAGTCAGTCAAAACATGACTTTCAGACAGATTTTTCGATGGCTCTACTACAATGTAACAATTTTCAAAGACCTTGGTGTGACCTATTGCTTACCTCAATGGCAAAAACAGCCGATAAGTTTTTCATCAATACTGCATTAGAGCAAAATATTTCAGCAGCTGTTTTAAATTTTGATCCACATCATGTAGATAACAGATGATGGCCAGGAGCCACACTCAGAAATTGGAACTGATTGATGATTATATCTCACTGTAACTCAATAATATTCCTTTCTTCCTATCCTTCTGCCTATTCCTTTCTAAAAGTATGGTCCTCTGAGCTGAGTCTCTCCCTTGCCCCACATCCTTTTGCCTTTTATTTTACATATAATTATCATGGTTGGCTTGTGATTTGATTGTATTTTACGCTGCCATCTATCGGCAACACATTTAAAGTTATCATTTTTGTATTACTGGGATAAAGCTTTTTGTTTTCTTTGCTCTGATGCTAACTATTCTTTGGGCCAAGTGCAAAGCTTTCCTGACTCTTGGAACACCATATGAACCCACCAGTCAAAACATGATGCACTCACTGCCTTCATTCATTTCACCACCTGATGCACTGTCTTCTTTCATTTCAGGCTCGACTGCCATGATGGATGTTTCCCATTCGTTAGCCTCTCATATCAATATTTTTATCCCGAATCTTGAATATCTTGCAGAAATGCTATATTTTCAATGCAACTCAAAATTGCTTATAGTTTTTATATAAATTTATGGACTTACTCAAATGCTATTTTTACATGATAGGACGCTTTACAACTTTCATAGTCTGGATGGCTTTGAACCAGGAACTTGTGGCTCATGGCTTGCTGCCATGTAAGAACTGTTGGTTGGGCATGACTGAGTGTCTAGTCAACATTATTATGATGTAGTTGGTTGAGCGTGGCTGTAAGGGTCTGTTCAATGTTGGTCTGATGCATATGATTGCCTGTAAGTGTTGAGAGGTCGAACAGCAGCCAGTCATTATTCTTGGGTTACCAATGCGGTGGTGGGTGCAGTTGATTCCTTTGCTGCTCAGCTAGAGTTGGGGTGCAAATCAGAAATCTATGGAACCATAAGCAACATCATCCAGTTAATAGAGCTAAAAGTGAATTTGAATCTTAAGTGTTTTGGAGTGATGCTTCTTCTGCATGGAGAGTGAAGTTGCTATGGAACCATATACACATTCTGCTGTATAGCATATTTTCACATTCCAGTGATGTTAGATTATCTCTCTACAGCAGGGTCCTCTTTCAAGAATCATGTGACCCAGGCCTCTGATGTATTCTTAGGCTGCTACCGACCAAAACTCTATCAATATATTTTCTAAAATATAGGACATTACATTTTCTGAGGTCAATAAGCAGGACCCATGACTGAGGTCAGAACTAGTCAGAACAGACTACAAGTATTTCCATATCACTCCACTTTAACCAAAAATTGAAAGCAAGCAAGAAGTAACATGAAGTAATGCTCCATTTTGGGCATATGCTTCAAAATAAAATGCTTGGCTTTATGTCAGGATAGGAATAATTTATTTTGTTACAGGTCAGCATAATACTGACTTTTGATAATGATAGTTTAAAAGCAGAGACACAGTCACTATACCGACATACAGAGCCATCTATTGCAGTTAAAAATTTATATATTAAAATTTCTTCAAAAAAGACAAATTTTGTATTTCTGTGCTGTATTAACATACATTGTAAATCCACTAAAATGCAATATATTTTTTTAGTTTGCTTGATTTTGGAACATTATGCACATAAACAATTGTAAAAATTTCTCATTATAATTACACTTTTAACCTTTTAACCGTCATGCCCAAGATTATCTCGGGCACAGCACTGGTGTTCGAAAATGTCACGTCCGAGTATTTCTCGGGGTAATTTTTTTTTGAGTGCATCGTATTGTCATACCCGAATATATATCGGGAGAAGTTTATTTCGGCTACATTTGGTTTTTCCAATAAAAAAATTCGACAATTTGTGTAGCCAAATCATCAAAATAACTTGACAGTTAAAGGGTTAAGGTTTCTCTTTTACAGCAAATATATTAAGGACAATCAAGGACATTTCTACAAAAATTCAATATAGTTCAAACTATAATTTAATATAGGATCTATTTATTACCTGTATATTTGACTTCCAGATATGTTCTGCTTAAGCTTTTCATTTTGAAGCAAACTAATAACATTTGTAACGATATTTAGCTTCAACGTTGATGAAAGCCAACTCAAACATGATTTGAAAAGACCCTGAAAATTAGAAAAAATACAAAATTACTCAAAACCTAATTGGAAAAAAATCGTCAATAGTTTACCATGGGAATTGTCAAAATTGAACATTTCGAAAATATTTCTGCTTGAAACATTATGTTCCGTCTTTATTTTTTTTCCTTTGGCAGGGAAGGGGGTCAATACAATTATATAATAATCAATGAAAATGCAATATATTTTTATATGCAAACTACTCCTACTAAGGTTAGAATCATCGGATCTAAATTTTTGAGCTGATGGCACAAAATCACTAAATGCCTAAGATTATGAGCTATGTGAGAGCAGAATTATTTAATAAAATGTAAACAGCCGTTAACATAATATTTAGACAGTTAATATGAATTGCACACATACTGATAAAAAATAGAACTGAACAAAATTTGTTACATGCAATAAATACATTAAAAAATTACATTAACTGCTGGCATCCTTTAATTTTATCATCATAGTAAGACATCAAACTCTGAAATGACAAAATGGGAACAAAAGCTACGCAGTATGCCCAATTATAGGCATATTTATAATAGATGAAAAACTATTATAAATATGCCTATAATTGGGCAGAAAGCTCCAGAAATAGAAATGAATGTAAACTATAGAATTTCATTAATTCAGGAATTCTTGAAAAAAAATGAATGAATAAATCTGTCCAGATCAAGTCATTTCAGTGTTATCTGCTTTTAAGATGAACTAATTCACTCAAAGACAAATAACACTGAAGGTGTGTATTCTGGGTGCTACAGAAAATTTCCTGATTTCAGAGCACTGCATGATGCTTTGATTATCTGTCATTATTATTTTTACTTCACTTGTTTATGTGGCCCTGCACATTTAATTAGTTTAAGAAAATTTAAATCCTGATGAATAAGCTGACTGCATGGGCACTTTCATGAATTTTCCATTTGTAACATCAATCGGAGCCAGAAGAGCCTAAAGCTTAAAAAGTCTTCTGTGAAAGTGTCCTTCTGCTAAAACAGATAGCCCTAACATGCTTTGCTATAACCGATTTAACACACAATAGAAAGTAACAAGACTGATACCATAGTGAAAAAACAGAACCATTTGATCATGTAGGAACACGTGCAGTTTCAGACGTGTGATGATGCATTGATACATTTCTCTGGTAGTTCATTATGTAACAGATGAAGTAGAATTTAAACACGTTTTTGCTATTCAGAGCAGATTTGGAAGTAAATAGCAGATTTGGAAGTAAATTTGGAAGTAGCAACATAAACAATAGCCTTTTTTTTTTATTATCAGAGGTACCTACTTTTTTCCCCTGATGTGGCTAGTTCTTTCTCAGATTTTTTTCTCTAAAGCCCGAGATTTAACATTTACTTCTGCAATTTTCCTTCTACAGTGGCGATGCATTCCTTTAGGTTCCGAAGAGTAGATGCCGTCACTGTGGCATTCAGTTCCATGGTTTGTCATCTTAGAGAAAACGGTACTTTTTCATTTTGCCGGCGCAGGCGATAATGGTACAACCGGAACCAAACGGAATATCCTCCCTGGTAACCTTTTACGCCTCATTTTCAAAACAAGTCGCCGCCATTTCTTATCAGATTGATTTTCTCTTTCAATACTGGCATAGAATTACATATAATTTTTACCAGATAGTTCAATTTTATGCCCTAAGGCCATTCCCGATAATTAAGTCAATTAGAATGAAATCACACCGCTCACCCGAAGGCGAAAATATAGAAAAGGCAAAGTCAAGAGTTAAATTTATCCATTCTAATGAAAATGCACTAAAGAAGTAAAGCACTGCGGTTTTACTTAATTTCTGAGTAAGCTATTCGTACGAATTGAAATAATTCTTACATTTAAACTTGTGTTCCAAATTTTGATTTAAATTGTAATTAATGTAGATAATTACTGAGAGAATTAGATTTTTGTAGCGTAGTTTACCTGAGATCAGATCATTTGAGTTATGTGATATGAACCGGCGAATCAGGATGTTGAACCGAAAGCATAGTAAATTCTTAAATTAATGTCTTTTGACAAATTTATTGTCTTTATTTATTGGCTTTTTACAAAATTTTAAACGATATTAAAATGTTTATACCTTCAAAATAAAAAATTCGTAGAAGTAACATTTGTTAACATTTTTTTATGTGTATACTGTACTATGTTGTCGCCAATAAAGTCTGTTTGGCGAGATTTGTGCCGGCGAAACGGAAAAGTACCGAGAAAAACCAATGCCATTTCTCCTTTTATTTCCGCATTTGCAGTAATGTCCTTTCTACTGGCAGTGGCAATGCTCTTTCGTCTTTTTAGTAATGGAATTTATGTAAACTCACACTAAGCACTTTTAAAGATCTCTTAAAATACTGAGGTCAAATGAAATGGAAAACCTGAAACTTTATTATCAATTCCAGCCAAAGCAATTTATTTTTCATGTGATAGAAAGTAGCTGAAAACAGTTAAAGGAGAATTAAGAGATAAAATTGAATTCTTCCTTAACAAATAAAAGAGAGAATGTTTTTTTCTGTTAAAAATTTGCAATTTTTTAAGAAATAAAACCTGCAAATTATAATATCATTCATTGAGCAAAGGTTAAAAATCGCTGAATACGTGAGCTCAACTGCACATCAGTCAAAGCAGATTAAGTGTCAACTAATTTATAGCCTCCTATTTGTCTCACAACCAAAGGGGTGAGGCAAGAGTAGAACTTTCTAGAAAAATTGATCCTAGGATGAGTATGTTTCCCGTGAACTTACAAAATATCACCAGATTAGCAATCGATTACCAAATATCACGCACCTGGTAATCAAAAGACCTAGCTACAGCCATACAGACATTAATGCTGCATCTCATTGGTTCTCCTTATATAGGGTTTCTCGAAATGTTGTTTACAAAATTTACAGTCTGATCTGTCAGACCATGATGAACAAGTTTTACACTGTTACTTTACAAGCTTAAACCGAAACTGTGACTAACCACTCCTAGTGGGTGATGTTTGCAAGCATATTGAAGAGCGGAAAGGGGGATTTTTTTCAAGCAAGAATGTTGGAGGAAAAGGATGCATTGGTTCAATAATGAGGAAATGGCTGATGTATTCTGCTTATTGAGTCATGGATGGAAATGAACAACCCATGAGATGCATACCCGAGAGCTCTTCCCAAATACACGCCTGCCAAGTTATCCATTGCATAAAGAATTACACTGCAGATTAAGTGAAGCTTGAGTAAGCAGCCACATTGGCCAGCAACGTCCTACAGCTACACCTGCCATAGAGGAAGCTGTGCTACAGGAAACTGAAAGGCTTCCCGCCATAAAAAAAAATCTCCTCACCCTATGGATTCTTCTCATGGGGATACATAAAGTCCCTGGTTTACAAAACACCTGTAACATCTGAGATCAACCTTGTTGCCAGAATCATGGAAGTAGCAGTATGTGTTTGTGACATTCATGGCCAATTTGAATGAGTCTGTAAATTCACGCATCAATGCTGTGAAATATGCATTGTGGTAAATGGATGGAATTCTGGAAATTTCCTGTAACTATGATTGTTTCCTTCATACATATTGTATGTTCCGTCTTTCAATATAAGTGGACTGTAATGTGACTTGATATTCCCTCAGTATAGAACTTAAGAAACTTCAGACACATAATGATGACCGAAACTCTTTATTTGCCTTCAAACATTAAGTTGGCTAAGCAAAAGCAAAGAACACGTTGAAACCTCTTGCTTCAGACGCGGATCACAAAGCAAACTCAGAAAAACCTCTGCCTCCTTGAAACTTCAGTAAATCCTTGCCACCTAAAAGCTCCAAAAGCGAGCTTAAAAACCCTAACAAATTTGTGTCTGCACCGCTAGTCAGTACAAAGACAGAAAAACAATTTGCATAACATCGAACACATATCATTACATTTTTTAAAAAAGAATAAAGTCATATCAATGCCGCTATTGACTTCCTTTCTCTGCATGTCGATCATGGTGCTGCAGCACTATACAGTTTGATTTTTGGACAAAACTTACTCCGTAAAATTAGTTTGTCAAGGTCTAATGGACCAACATGTAAAGTTTGTAAATGACCTTTTGGGGCATCATATACTATTACACAATTCCAGGGTCTATTTATTGAGAATTAGTGTTAAATAATAAAGTCAGCTACAATAAGTACACCAAAGTGCAGAGTGATTAGGTTCATTTCATCGCAGAAAACATGAAAAATGTGCAATGGTCCTTTACTGGATTTGAAGTCCGGATATTCCAATGCTAGCCAACCATATTTCTAATTACACCACGAAAGAATGCGGCAAGGAGGGGGATAAGATACCCCACATTCTCCCCCATTTAAAGGATGACTGGGAAGGAGGGGACGTAACTGAAAGATCTTGGTGGTGACAAATTATCATCCCCCATATTTTAGCCTGGGTGGCACTACAGAGTCTTAGAATATTTTGGAATATGAAATATAATAAATCTGTGAAGACGACCTCACCAAGATTCACACTCCGAAACTCGAAATACTAGCCAAACGTGGTCCCAATTATATCACAAAGGCACATGGTAAGGAGGGAAAAAATACCTTACTAAGTGGCCAGGAAATGAAAGATTGCATAAAATATAAAATAAACAAACATAAATTAACCACAAAAGTAAGTTAAAATAATAAATAAAAACAATTACAGAGTAACATTAAATATATAAAATCACATATAATATAAAATAAAGCACAAAGAAATAAACACAAATATTTACACCAACATGAAAAATTATCAAACACTGTTTAAATCATGATTAAAATTAACAGTAGGCTTACTGTAAAAGGAAAATGATTTAAGTTTTATTTTTTAATAAAATAAACAAAAGTGCACTGACTCTGGAATTATATCTCCCAATGCTAGCTCCCATCAGAACTTGTCCTACACTCCAGGTCATACAAAAATCTTTTTTGATTCGTCAACTGTGGCATTAAATTTTGAGTAAATGCATGGATTTTGAGAATTTCTGTTCAAAACATGTTAATGTTTCAAACAGTAGTTGTTCAAATCAACAAACATGAAATGATATTAGGAAGCATCGTAATTAGACTCAACAGAACTGGGTTTGTGCACAATTCTTAAATATGAGTAGTTCACTCTGTTAACTATATTATAGACGTCAACTGATCTGGCATGAGAGTAGTATTGCTTATTGTCCAGGAAATATCCAGGAAAAGACTGGTAACCAAGATGCAGTATCATGGTATGGAACAGCACTTTGATCAATGGCCACATGCCTCTACATGTAGTTGCAACTGGGACTATGACTGGCAAACAATACATTAATGAAGTCTTGCCTCATGTTTGCATACTCCATGGCGGTGTCGTTGATAAATTTGTTTTTATGGACAACAATGCAGCATGTCATTGAACGGTTACAGTCCAAAAGTGTCTAGAGAGCTAGGTTATTCAACGCCTCATCGCCAGCACAATATCCAGATATGAATCTCATTGGAAATGTTTGGGATGCTTTGGGGAGGAGTCTTGCTCATCAACAGTGCCTTCCAATAAACAAGAACACCCTCATCCACGTATGACAGAGGAATGGGATAAATTACCCAACAGCTGTTGTATAATGTTGTGCAAAGTATGACAGAGTACCTTAGAATCTTACATCGCCCTACATGGTGAATATGTACCGGACTGACAACTTACACCAGAATGCCTGCAGACAGTAACTGCATTTTTTTTTCTTTTTTTTTTTTTACTTTCATGTATACAGTACAATATAAGCATTTTGCCCATCAAACACTTTTCAAAGTCTTCTAGATTTCAAAGCATAGTAAATTACCTTTATTGCTATGATCTCGTATTTTGGTAGTATTTCATTTCATTTGGCATACAAACACACTTACTTTTTAACGCACTATACAGCTGTTTGTGATCCTCCTCATCAATTGTCTACCAATGTAATGATGATCTGCATGCACCTAATACCAGTGACAGGAACAAATTAATTACTTATGTAAATCTATGTTAGTTTATGAATTATTTCTTTATAGAAAAAATAATGTTCGAAAGTGATAACATAAATAGCTAACAACACCTAATTTAAATTTTATCCTAATTTTAGGGACTTCATTTTTAATCATTCTTTTCTATAAAGCTTGTCTTTCTTTGTGTTTATTGGTAAGTCTAATTCTCCTCTAGTCTTGTGTATACCATTTTAAACGCATGTTTTTAGTAAGTGTTAGTATGAACATTTGCAAGTAACAAATGTTTTAAATATTACAGTAAAAAAAACATTAGCTAGCTCCCTTAATAAAACAACAAGATAAGCCTAGTAATAATTTTATTGAAATATCTATCAAGAAACAGTTGTCTGTTGGGCTAATCAGTTGTCAAAGAATCATGATTCAATATTTGTTGACTGTCACTTCATAACTCTACTATCAGTTTTACCAACTTAACAGTCACATTTTAACTTTCTTCCACTTCTACTTCAGGCACTTGAGAATCAAAAGCTTATTACTGTCTTTTATTTCTTCACATCTTCATTCTTTTTATTCTACTCCATCAGATGTTTTATCCAACATTTCTTGAGCTTTCTTAGACATTTCACCAGCTACTTCTTTCATTACTTCATCCTTTGAGTCTTCAAATGCCACTTCTGTCATTTCCACATCTTTTATGGCTCAAGTTTCTTCTTAAACTCCACTTTCATCTGCTGGGAGTTGCTCTCGCAGCTTTTCTTGGCCGGCTTTTATTTCTCTCACTAACTTTCCTTGGCCAAACTTCATCATTTTATATGTGGTTTTCATCTCTTCTTGTACAGCTTTCATCTCTTCCAGCTGCTACGAAGTCCGTGAACTTCATTTCCTTTGCCATGGCTTTCTCCTGTAGGCGGGTCACTGGCATTCCTGGTATTCACTCGCAAATCCCACATCTGGACACCAGTTGTTGCATTTCTACGGGTTCGTTGATTTGGAGTGATTGACTACAACACTTGATGAAGGGAAAAAAATACAATTTAGTAGCCAATATTACTCAGGACAGCTCCAAAAACACGTTTATAGTCATCGAAAAACTACGACAAACACGCTGAAACAATCAGCAACACAGCCTTCAGGCTATCAGGCTATAACAGTGAAGAAAGCTTCATGGCAAAGCACTAGAGTACAGTTCCTGACTCGGTTCGGTCGTTCACGTAATTCAACGCACTCTCGAGACCGTATGGTACAATTCGCGATGCACTCGATAGATTCATCGATGCACTAACTCGCAATACACTCGACACTAGACTGACGATCAACTCACTCGCTACTCCACATACCAGCAGGGTTTATATAGCTTTCAGCCTGCCTTTGAGAACATTCTGGGCCAAATTGGGATGAATTCTTTCCAGAATGTTCTCCATCCATCTATGGCATATTGCCTTCCCTAAATTACTTTATAACAGGACATGGACCCTTCCCCACATATTTCTACGCAAGAAATTTGGCAAATTCTGATATCTGTATATGTGGGGAACAGGGAACTCCTGATCACTATGTTTTCTCATGCCCCTTAACTGAGGATATTCACATAAAATCCCCAAGAACTGACCTCCTGGCATTCCAAAGGTTTTTAATTAAAGATAAACATCAATATTCAAAGCTTCAGAAAATTATGCAACGACACTCTTCCTACAGCCTAGATCTCTGTCAAGTGTAAGTCCACATACAGTTTAAACTTAGTGAACTTTTACATGCTGTGATTATGGACAAAATGGATCCACTCGTGAACTTTATAAACTGCAATAAACCAATATATCTGAAATAACCCATGGACACCTACCTCTTTAGCATTATTATAACAATTCATTTAATATTGTGTTGCCAGTACTAATTATAATTATCTCATTATGTTTATTTGTTTATTAATTATATTTATCTCCTATTTTTGTTGCACCAAATCAGATGTTCAATTTATCTTGTGAATCTCAAATTGCATTCCTACTATTTTGTAATCTACTTATGCCCTACACCATTATTTTTAATAAATACTGGATGCGGGGCGTACTTTGGAATTGCACGATGTACCATAATAGGCAAACTTTAGACCTTTTGAAAAGCTTCAGTCTATGCAAATTCTTATAAAACTTGCAATTACCCCCCTTTTTGTTTTCTAAACGAGTTAGTATGGGAAGGCATTACCAGTTGACCTATGGAACATCGCTGATGTCCCCCATACTTTTACCTTTACCTATGGCATATTGCCAATTTTGTCATCAAATGTCTGCAAATGGGTGATTTTATGCCAAATATGGCAACGCTGCCTTCCCTTGCCATATTTTGGCAACACTAAACCCGCCTTGCAGGAAAGACATCTTACTATGGCTAGGCATTTTGTAACAATATAATTAAACTAAATAAAAGAGGACTAAGTACATAAAAAGAAATCGTAGTGGAAACACAAAATACTGCAGGCAGATGAACAGAAGGTTGAGAGGAGAGCCTAAATAAATCTTTTCTTAGCAAGAAAAATATCTGTATTGTATAATATATTAAAAGCATAAGAATTACATAGTATTAAAAGCATAAGAAGAAACAGCAATAATAAATAACTAACCTTCTGAGCTATCCTTTCAGTATTTTCAAGAAGAAATGCAGCAGCATACCAGTTTCCAGGAAGTGGATTAGATACATTGACAGTCAAAGGTACCATATCAGACATCAAAGTAACGTTATGGAGATGCATTCGACGAACAGAAAAAAAATCTGGGTATGATGCATTCTGCAGCGTCATAACTGGAAAGCTCCCATACTGTAAGTAGCTGGGAAAAAATGAGGAGCAAATATTAAATACTAATTTTTCTGATAGTTTCAAAAATTATATTGTTAATAACAAACAACATTTTACCTCGAAACATCAATAAAAGTTTTCATTACAGTACGAAACTAATCTTATTAACTGTAAATTGGGGGGGGGGGGGGAAAAAAGGTATTTGAGCTGCTTGTATTTTACAGTATTAGAAACTACTACACTTACTTTGCATGGTGTAAAAATACATTATAGATAGCCAGAAAACTTTCGTAAGGCAGAAGAACAAAAATAACATTAATTTCTACAGATTCTTATTTTTTTTTATAAAATTCATCTGTTTTCAAAATCTATTTCCAAATATCAGATCAGACTTGTTTACACCTGGGGCATTATGTTTGAATATCACTAATGAATACTTATTTAATTTATATCTTTTCTATTTTGCCTCACTTCACTACAAGGTTTGCTCATCTCAGAATTTATGTAGATCTGAATGACAAGCACATTTATTATAAAGTTAGATGAATTGCACATAGGTTAATGTGACTTCTTTCATCTCATTTGCTCCTTTGAGAGCAATTTTTCATTGATCCTCAATGTTGCTGGCCAATCAGGTATTATTTTACTAAATGAGTAAAGGTGCATTGGAGTACAGTATTCCTGCTGATGCTTCCATGGAATTTCTCTCTTTTTTTGCAAAGCACCACTAGCCCGAGTTGGACGAAAAAGTGCAAAAATAGGTTTGGTTTGCTAAGTTCGAAGTTTGCATATCAGTTGAAGTCTTAGAGAAATCTTGCCTCTGTTAGAATATGTTAGATTAGAACAGGTGAAAGAAGCATGTGTTTTCCAGCAGATCCAGGTGACTGGTACCTTTTTTGTTTGTAATTAGAACAGGCTAATGAAGCTTGTATTCCGCCAGATCCAGGCGAGTATTACCTTTTTGTGATATATAATTTTAGCCTCACAAGGATTAATTTAAAGTTGACGTATATTTGTGTCTGTGCGAAAGGTTTAGCTATTCTAGTGGTGAAAACTTACCTGTGGAATCAACATAATACTTAAGTAACTTTCAAGATGGCTAGTTAAGATTAGTTCGACTCCAGATAGGTATTACCTGTACATCATAATTAATTCTAACTTACAGATATAAGCAAGTCTAGTTTCATTCAGAGAATAGAGCCATGGTTAGATATTTTTTCACTAGGGATAAAGAGGTGAAAGCCATGTATCTTAAGTATGCCTCTACATACAATTCAGTAAACTATGCCAGCACACTTTTATATTCAATAAAGGTAACTAACTGTTTTAAATTATATAACTGTAACTCTTATATCATTTTGAATTGCAGCTTTATTTATTGACAAACATAATACAGAAAATTAATTATAATTTTTAAAATAAAAATATTAAACACCTCTTTTTAAGAAACAGAAAATGACATTGAAATTATATAAATATTAATACAATTAAATATTAAAATCAGTGCTCTAATTTTTCTTATTTTTAACAAAGCAAAATAGTCAATATTTTTTTAGCTTCTTAAATTTATATGATAGGGAGAGAATAGACATATTTGAAAATTTTCCTACTGCAGGTCTTGATTTTGCATAATTTTTATACTATTTTAAATTTCCTGAAGATTCTTTCATTCTGGAAATACTGCCTGGCAACATTAAAAATATTCTTAATGAAATTTCCATGTTCAGATACGATTAAACTAAATTTGCATTAACAAGTTATATTTTAAAACACATAATCTTGTTTTGGTCTCCAGAATTATTCTAATAGCAGATTTTTGGAGCATTTACAGAATTTGCATTTTAAGCATAAGGCAGCTCCTTTTAAAGTGCCTGAATCCGATAAAACTAATTTTTCCCCAGACCAAAAACTAGAAATTCGAAGATAACTCGGTTCATTTTCCACTTCGTACTTAATTTTAGTGGTGAGTTTGTAAGGATTCCAAGTTTTACTAATGTTTATTTTATTTTAAAACTTTTCTATCACTTCTTATTTTCTACTTCCGGCCAGAATTAAATGTGTTAACTTGTTTATGCAAATTGTACTTGCTAACGCCCAAGTATTTAAGTTGTGGCTTTTTCTCAAGAGTTAGAGAGAGGGAGAGGAAGCGAGCCGCTTGCCACTGCTTTCTTACGAGTTTTCAATCGGTTGCTGCTGCCTTTTAAGGCCAGAGGTTTAGCCTTCTTGATATTTGAAAACGTATTGTAGTTTCAGCAGTTAAGCGTACTACATACGTACCCTTTTAAAAAGGCCAGTGTTAGGCCTTTGTATCCTAATTCAAAGTTAGCTTTTAGTTAGAGTTTTAGTTAGTAGTTTTATATTTTTACGTTCAGATCTCAAGTGGTTGGTCTCTGTATCCCGAAGTACGGGAGCACCTGTAAAGTAATAGAGAATAAAGGGTTCAGTATACCCTTCCTGGGCCCACCAGCGGCCGAGCGGTAAAGTCGCTGAACACTGGTAGTTCGGTCCGAGGTTCGAATCCCGCGAACGGGCTGGCTGCATGGGTGTTTTCGTGGTTTTCCCCATGTGTAACGTGTATACGAGCCAGTTTCCCTTAGAAAGTCCTCCACGAAGGCATCCCTCCCCTTAGGCAGATAGCCCTCGTGTGCTTTGCCGTAATTAAATACACACACATACACACACACACATACCCTTCCTGCTTGTGTTGTCTATTCCACATAATCTGGAACATAGCTTTAGTAAGCTCCCTGTTCTTATTCAGGATACGTTATGTTTCCGAAGCAAGTATTTCCGGACAGTGGCGCCCGAAGAAGACTAACCATGGCCGAGTTTCAAGAAGAATCTGAGGTGCCTGCAGCAGCGGCTCAGAATGCAGAAATGCCAGTTGCCAGAACGGGTTTGGATACATTGTCCAGACCATGCGCGCATCGATGAAACCAGCAGCAAGCTTTGACGAAAACTCACCGGCTACCAATTTTTTTGGAAAAATTCGACGACCACTTCATGCTATATCCAGTCCATGAGTTCCAGAAAGTCACCTTAGCTACCAGCGCTTTGAGGGGCCAAGTGCTTAGTTGGTTCAAATGCATCGGAAGAAACCTCTTGGGTCAAGTAGGAAGTCCCACCTACACTTACGAAAATTTCAAGACTGCCTTAGTAAAAGCCTTCCCTGTCGTAAGAAATCGTGCCAAATTGGAGGCGGAACTCTTCAGCACATACCAGCAACGAATTGAAAATCTCTCAAGCTTTATTTTAAGAAAAATACACGTCTTTAAACTCTTGTATGGAAACCGTCCGGATCCTGAAATAATCCAAGTGATTTTGTGTAGGTTACTTCCCCAAGTACAAGACTTCATTGAATCCAACGACATTGGAAAAGTTATTTGAGCTCGCAATCCAGTTTGAAAGTAGAAGAACGGCGGACATTGAAATAAGACGCCAGCACGAGCAACGAAGCCAATTTGGTGCGCCAAGACCACAGCAGAGGCAAGATCACGGCTACAGAAGCAAGTCGAATCAGTGGTCAAAGAAGCCCGAGTATCTAAAAACAAACGGCGAACGTCGACAGTTCAATAATAAGCCCCCCCCAAAAAAAAGTTTGAAGGCCAGCGGAAAAAGAAGGAAGGCCTGGAAAAGAAGAAAGAAGATTTAAACTGAAACGGATTTCTGCTGACGGGAGGGTGCGGAAATCCGAAGGCCACCCTTTTCCTTCAAGTTAAATACAGTGATTGTGAAAAATTTGACTCTTCCGAAGATTGAAGTTTGGTGAACAATATTCCAGCCACCGCACTCCTGGATACAGGCGCGCAGTGTTCCTGTGTGGCAGAAGATTTTTTTAGGAAGTATTTCCGTAAATACCGAATATATAATTCGGATAATACGACAGTGTTAGCTGCGCAGGGGGAAAATGTAAATGCATAGGTAAAGTACCACTCTATATCCGCATCAAGGACGAGCAAGTAAAGACTTATGTTCTTTATCGTAAGAAATCTGCAAGCACACATAATTTTAGGGATAGATTTTCTTTCAGAGGCCGAAGCAACGCTTTGTTTTAACCAAGCGTCCCTTAAGCTGACCATGAAACCAGTGCTGGAAGTAAAAACGGACCCCCCCACATTAAATCTCCACCACCTTATGCAAATTACAAACCATGAAATCGATACAGGAGATTCACTGCCAGTTCGCCACAAGCCATATCGTTATAGAGTAGCATATTCGAGATATGCTAAGTAAAAAGATCATAACGCCCATCTCAAGTAGTTATGCCAGCCCGGTTGTTCTATGTAAAAAAAAATTACGATTATCCAGTTACACACCCAAAACGGTGGCGTTTCGCAATTGACTATCGCAAATTAATAAACATTACTAAACATCCGGTATATCCGTTACCTATTATTGAAGAAATTTTACGGAACATAACTTCTACGAAATACATGACTACGTTAGATCTAACATCAGGCTATTTCCAGATAGAAGTAAAACCAGAAAATGTGCCTAAGACTGCTTTTATAACTGAGTCTGGCACTTATGCATTCTTGCGTATGCCGTTTGGCCTTTCAGGGGCACCGGCAACATTTCAGCGATGTATGGACATTGTGTTAAGACCTGTTCTAGGAAAGAACACATTTATATATTTAGACGATATCATTATTACTAGTGATAATTTGGATCCAACATGTAAAAGGATTTGAAGAGAGGTGTTTTCATTATTAAATGAGGCCGGTCTAAAAGTTAATGTCGAAAAGTGCAAATTGCAGCCCCTGAATTAAATATTTAGGTTAAAATATCTCAGAAAGGAATCGAGACGGACAAATCAAAAATAATCGCTTCAAAAGTATCCGCCGCCAAATACGGCGAAGAAGCTTCTTCTTTTCTAGGACTTTGTTCATATTATAGGTCCTTTATAAAAAATTTGCACTATTGCTGAACCATTGTTAAAATTAAAAAGGAAAAAGGCAAGATTCTCGTGGACGGCCGAAGCCAATAGTGCTTTCGAAAAATTAAAGCAAGCATTAACGCAAGCCCCTGTTT